TTTTGGTTTTTCTCCGGTACCGGGAACCGAACTCACGACCTTGCACATGCCAGGCAAGCGCTTTTGCCGCTGAGCTAAATCCCCAGCCCCGCTACCCAAGTTTTAATCATATTGTCTAGAAGGGAGGGCTATGTGGAATTTGGAAATGAGAATTGAGTTCCCTAGGGGAATGCCAGGGGTTCCTCCCTATGCATAGCTCCTCCACTTCCTCTTGGAAGAACCAGTTTTCCAGTGCAGTTAAAGCCCACAATTGTTAAAATCAATTTTGCAGTAAGACATCAAACAAAGGTAAACAGGATTCTTCCCTATATCTACTTAGAAAGTCTTTGATAGAGGCATTGAAAGAATTGTTGGGCAAGGCCTTCATGAATTTGGGACAGATTTGTTTCAGGAACCTCATACATCTGTATCATAATAACAGGACATACAGAATCACCTTAATTTTCAATCATGCTAGCTGGTGATGTCAGAAAAATCCCTGTCTAGCTCTCAAAACTGCTTCATCTATCCTTACTATCAGCACAAATGGCCTACAGATATTTTTTCTCCCTAGCCAGACTAATAGGCGCACCCAGTTGGGAGTTGATATCAGGTGCGGAAGTAGAACATTCCCTAACTGCTTGGTTTGACAAATAGACCTGCAACACAGCATACTGCTACAGCACGCAGCCTTCACAGAGAAACACGGAAACTGCCCTGTTCACGGATGCCTTCCAATTTCCATCTTGCAAAATAGTATTTTGTGGTAAAATAGAGGAATGTAAAGCAATTCTCAGGTGAAGAATGGAACCCTAAGGATGGTTTAAAGAGACAAGGGAAACAGTGGTGAGGATCCCAGATCCATTAGGGAAGTGAACTGTGTTATTCCAAGGACACATGAAGAAAACAATCACATCAGTGACACCACAGAAGCTATGGCTGCGAGGCAAAATGTATCTTTAATGTCGTCAGATTTTCCATTGTTCTTGAAAATACATTTGTCTTATACACTAGTACATTTTCAGAGTCTTTGTAGGTTTTAAATTAAATTTTTGAATTTTGCCCAAACAATAGCTTCAAGACTAGAATTTCTGCATTTTGATTTTCTGAGGTGACATGCAGTATTTAGGCTTGCAGCAGCCTTATGTAATGGATTGTATTTTGTCTTATAAGACTTGATTCTTCAGTATACTATCTATCACTACGAAGGCACCTAGGATGATGGTCACGTTATTGACTTATACAGGGTGGATTGTTCTTTAGAATAGTCACCCTTGAAGTGTGGCCCCAGCTCCAGTACTATCAGCATCATCTGGCAGCTAATCAGAAATGCACATTCCTAGGTGCACATTGATGGACTCAGCCAGACATTCTGGGGGCACAACAGACATTCCCGGGTTCTGTGTGTTAACAAAGCTGCCAGGTGACTCCAAAGTGTGCTAGACTTAGCCATGCCACAAAGATTTCAAACTGCTTTCATTTTAGCATTAGGTAGCAGGGTAGTGAATTTTTTTTTCAAAAGAATCCAAGGCTTTAGTAAGTCAGTTGGTGCTCAAATTCACTCAAAGCTAAGTGACAGATTTTGGATTTGAACATCATTCTTTTCACTCTAGCTCTGACCAGTCTTTCCATGCGTGCTTGGCACCCTGGCTTGTCAAAGTCACTCAGAATACAAAAACTGAGGGTTGGTGTCCGACCCAGGTAATTACCACATGACTTCCAAGGAGAGACAGGAAGAGATTCTTAGCATAGCGGTGATTCCCAACAAGTCCGGGGGTCCGGTTGGAGACTCGAGACACCACACTGGTGGAAAAGAAGTCATAATGTGATTTCTGTGCCAACACCACTTATAAACATTCCTGAGAAATTGTAACTACAGCTAAGTTCTCCTGACTCTTTGGTATGAATTGTTTAAAGGAAAGAGTACTTCAAATATGAGAGAAAAAGGTAATCAAATTTCTCTTCTTATTCAATATCAACTAGAACAAAAGTGCCAGTACTCTTGCATTACATAAGAGTGCTGTAATCGTTCAATTTGTAAAAACAATACACTTGAAGTACAGTAAAACAAAGCATAATAAAATAAGATATGTCTGCATCTAGGAAACAAACAAAATGGGCGCCTCCAAAGAAAAAATTCTAAATTGGACTCATTCACTATTATCTCACTCTTTTTTTTTAATTAGAGAACTAACTTTACTAAAATTTTTACTAAAATTTTACTTAAATTCACTAAAATTTGAGAATTAGTAAAAAACACTTAAAAATTGACTTTAAGGTTAACAGTAATTGTCTCCCATCTCCTATTTTTTATTTCAAATCTCTTTTCACAAGAGAATGTATGTAACTCCAGAGAAGAATAATTTGTTCCTTTCTTATAATAGGATATTCAAACTGATGAAAGTAATAATCATGATATGTTAGTATAGGAACTTTTTCACTTTTCAGTAAATGCCATCTACATATTTGTGCCTAATTCTCAGAATAAATGTTATTTTTCTCTAGATTTATCAAAATGTAACTGACAAATAACAATTATATGTATGTAAGGTATGCCACATGGTATTTTGATATATGTATGTATTGTAAAACAATTATCACAATTAAACAAATAAACACAGCTGCCCCTCACATCAGTATCCTTTCTGTGTATGTAATAAGGACATTTAAGGCATTTACTCTCGGTAAATTCACATATATAATATTATTGCCCACAGTCACCACGCTGCTCAGCAAATTCCCAGAACTTATTCATCCTGCGTAAATCAAGCTGCATATCTTTTGAATAAAGTTTTATTATTTCCCTGCTCTGGCAATCATTTTACTCTCTGCTTTGAAGAGTTCAGCTTCTTAGATTCAGCATGTAAATGCAAAGATACTGTTTGTCTTTCTCTGCCTGAACTCTTTTGCCTAACATAAAGTCTTCCAAGTTTATCTATGTTGCCCCAAATATCAGACTTTCCTTCTTTTTAAAGGCCGAATAATAGTCTATTGTCTATATACATAATGTCCCATTGTCATATGTGTGTATGTGTGTGTGTGTGTTTGTGTGTGTTTTATCCAGTCACCTGTTGACAATCACGTAATGGATCCTGTACCCTGGCTACTCTGTATTAATGCGGCAATGAACATGAACATTCAGATGTTTCTTTAAAAAAGTGATTTCATCTCCTTTAAATATATACTCAGCAGTGGGACTGCTAGATCATGAAGTTTGTTTTTAATTTTTTGAGGAACTTCCATACTGTTTTCTCTGATGAGTACAATCCAATTGATAGTCCCAGCAACAGGGTGCAAAGGCCCTTTTTTTCTCCACATCCTTGCCAACACTTGTTATGTTTTATCTTTTTGATAATAGCCATTTTAAGAGGTGTGAGGTGATGTCTCACTGTGGTCTTGATTTCCATTTCCCTTATGACTAGGGATGCTGAGCGTTTTTCATATACTTGTTAGCCATTTGTATATTTTCTTTGGAGAAATGTCCTCTGCCTACCTTTTACTGGGTTCTTTATTTTCTCACTACTGAGTTGTCAGTTTTTGTATATTCCTATTATTAACTGTTTATCAGATGTATGATTTGCAACTATCTTTCTCATTGCATACGTTGTGTCTTCACTTTGATAATTTTCTTTGTTATATGGGGCTTCTGGTTTGATGATTACCATTTGCCTATTTTTTTGCTTTTGTTGCCTGTGCTTTGGGATTATATAATAAAATTATCCTCTAGTCCAATGTTAAAAAATATTTCCTGTATTTATTTTTAGTTGCTTTAGTTTTAAGTCCTACATTTCAGGATTTACAGGTAAGCCTTTAATCCATTTTGAGTTGCTTTTTGCATATGGTATGAGATAATGGTCCAATTTGTTCTTCTGCATGTAGATACCCAGTCTTCTGAGCATGATTATTGAAGAGGTTGCCATTTCCCCATTGGGAGATGTTGGCAAATTTTGTTGAAGTTAGATTGACTGAAAATGTGAAGATTTATTCAGTTCCTTGGTCTACATGTCTCTTTTAGGTTATCACCATACTGTTTTTATTACTGCACAGTAAGAAACAGTATCAGTTATACATATACATAATACTGCTGGTAATTAGACCTATCAAAAATTAATCAGAAAAGTTTATACTAAGTGACATATAGAAGAAATTACCCTTTCTAAATATCCTTTTTTCACTCTATACAACAATGTTTAATAAATCTTAAATATCTTAAACCATCTTACAGATTTTTACTTAGTCTCATTTCCCAAATCCCCAGTTCCACTAACCACAGTCCTTTTGTGTGTCCTATAAGTCCTGGTTTGTAGCCAGGCTTAGAAATGATGTTTTCTCGAAGATTAGTGATCTCAGAATGTTCTTTCCAGAAGACCTGCGCTAAAAATCCTTACCATAGATCTGAGCAAAAACGTGCTAAGACAACCAGTGAAATAAATTGGCTTTTCCAAGGGCCACCACATTATTTAAATCAATCAGTTAAGCTGTGTATTCTACAGAAGACTTTTTTCTCTTTTTCATGTAAAAGTGTTTAAATGGATAAACACCAGTCACTATAGAGATTAATGTGATTGTGAGGATTGCAAGTCAGTTTACCCAAAGCACTCAAAGTAGTCCCTAGCACAGAGTAGACACTACTTATGCAGATGCCTCTGATTATGATTATGAGTATGACAGTCAAATCTTTAAGGCTGCATTGGTTAAAATAGTAAAAATATTATCTAAATATCAAAGTTATGCTCAGCTCTGGTTGTCTGCGCTGGATAAAGAGAAACTGGAAAGCAAGTAGTGCATCTGCTATCCAGTAGGCAACGAACAAATTACCATATCAGCTTTGCAAAACAGGTGGGTTTGCTCAAGCTGCACAGCCTGCTTGTCTGTTACTAATTGGCAAGTCAGTCATTCTGGAAGTACCATGCAGGCTTTGTAGCCCAAGAAGGGACCCACAAGATCACTTAAAGTGCAGGTCAGTTGCCCATTTGAAATCCATGTTACAGTGGCCTGGTGTGTGTGTGTGTGTGTGTGTGTGTGTGTGTGTTCAGAGAGGCTCTGTATAAAATTACAGAACAGTTCACAGACTTGCTTTTATTTCTCACTTCTGCACTACCTGCAGAATTCAGGGGCTCCCAAGACCACCTGAAAATAGCCTTGTTCATATCTACAGTTCACTGCACTGAAAGAAGAGATAAAAATCAGCCAAGGGATGCGATTTGTAGGGCAGAATTCAGCAAGGTTCTAAACAAGGCTCTTCTGGCTAGCCTGTCCCCATAGCATCACAGACAGCATTTCCTTCCTGGCAGTGGTGTATGACGTCACACCCTAGAAGCTTAGCTGGTCCTGTGTCATTGTCATTTATCAGGGCCCAGTCACATGGCTGACTGTCCATGTGGCTGACTCCAGCCTCTCCTTCTTCCTAAGGCTAAGAGATCTCTGTAGTCTCAAGTCCCTCTGGCAGTGGAGCTGTTACCACATGGCCCGAAGCCACTCCATAAGACACAGTGTTAGGTTGTACAGTGTGGCCCACAGCCCCCAGGAAAATAAAGACACTCCTCCTGGAGAGCATGTCCCAGCAGACAAGGACAAGACCTCACAGTAGGTCATATAAAGTGACATTTAACTAGCTTATATGCCTGTCTGATTCATTTCTTTTTTTTTTTTGGTTTTTCTCCGGTACCGGGAACCGAACTCACGACCTTGCGCTTGCCAGGCAGGCGCTTTGCCGCTGAGCTAAATCCCCAGCCCCCCATGTCTGATTCATTTCTTTCCTTAGCTTCCTGGTAAGGAGGGTACTTGGTCCTTATCACCCAAGGAGTGTCACAGATGTGTGTCAGTTATTTTTCTGAAGTAGCGGTTATGTTTGGGTGATAATTTCCAATGTTTTCTCCGGAGGGTCTGAAGGAAGTGCACAGCACCTTGGATTAGGTTGTTGAGCACATGCTCCAAGGTAGGTGCTCTGGCTGTCTCAAGGGGATCTGCGGCCCAACATAGCCATTAAATCATGGAGCTTCTCTTTGTCTTCCATTCATTGCAATAGCTTTACATTTATGCATCAGTACCTTCAGTACCACCTCTTCTCTTCCTCCACACATCCATTACCTTTCCTACTCTCTCTACTCAATGTGGAGGGTACAAATGGAGATCAGAAAATAAGTGGAATGCATTTTTTTTTTTTTTGATCATCACAGGCTTAGTAAACAACCTGACTCAAAATTATTCACGCCAGCTTTCTTGAATGGAAAGTTTTGCTTTACTTTGTTCCAGTTATTTATTCAGAGTTTATCGTGCTCCTGTGATGTGCAGGTTCATGTACAACATACATGCACTGTATCTTTTCCCTGCAGTGGAGAGTTCTGTAACTCTATACATTGCCTCCCTTTATTCCCTGCTTTCCACTTGCTTGTGTTGTGTTGGTCTTTAGGATGGGATAGAAAGTGCTGAGAAGGCAAACATAAATACAGAAGGGAGTCCTTAAATGATCTGCTGACCTTCTATCTAACCTTTATTAACTACTGTTAGGGTTCGTACTGTAAGAGAAGAGACAGAGATGAGTAAACAATCATAACCCTCTAGCTTCAAACTAATAGAAGAGTGTTCAAAGTGCTGCTAAATATATTAAAATTTTGGGTTAACATTGTTGAAATGGAGATGCAAAGTTGAGGAGTGAATTTTGTACAGTATTAGATTTTCCCAGTAGATAACCAGTTTTCAGGAAAGAAAATTTAAAAGACAACTGAAAAAAGAAAAAGATATATTATGTTGATTGTTTCTTTCCTTTTTCTTCCTCCCTTCCTCCCTCCCTTTCCTTCTTCCTTCCTTCCTTCCTGCCTTCCTTCCTTCCTTCCTTCCTTCCTTCCTTCCTTCCTTCCCTCTTTCCTTCTTCTGTTTCTACGACTTGATGCTTGTCAGGCACCTGGCCTGGGTTGGTTTCCTGATTTGAATGAATGTTGAGTTACTGATAGGAATGAATGTTTTAATCATGGACTGCTACAGTTTCAGAGAAGAATAAATTAGGTAGCTTCACATTAGCAAAAATTAAAAAAATATAATCATTAATCATGTAACACCATAAACAAGCATTTTACTATAAGCAGAAAAATAACCCCTTTTTTTCATTAAAAAGAAATCTATACAGATGCAGCCCAGAGAGGATGAAAGTGTCGGTTTTTACATTTAAGGATTGGTGCTTTATGAGGCTTGATATGTTAACGCTTCCTCTGGGGCCATGCTGATGAGCACACTGCACAGGTGGCCCAGTGGATTTATAGACACAATAACCGAGGGGGAGAAATAAGAGGCTAGCACGTCGGTGGCACATGGGATGCAGCTGGCTTGGCCACTTAACAGCCAACATAAGTTTTATGTGACAGAGCCACTTACTGAAACTCAGGAGACACTTTGTCCTGGATCCTCGGCCGGCTGCTTTTTTCACTCTTCCTTTCCTGTAGCAGAGTGCAGGGCAGCCTCTGAGAGCTGCTTTGTCAAACTCTGAAATGAGCAAATTAATTCATCATAATTTACAATGTTCTGGGGCTCCTTGAACATCTGTTCAGTGTAGCTTCATGTTGTAACACTCTAAAGCTTGGGTGAGTTAAACGGTTATGGGGCTTGGGAACTTAAAATATTAAAGTGTCTGTGTCTGAAAAAGCCAGAAAACCAGCTTTTGCAAATTAAAGAGGTTATCAGATTATCTAAATCACAAACACTGTTATATGCTTGCTGTATTTGTAGGGGTAGTGAGTAAGTTTCGCGGGCTGGATTTCCATTAAGACCACTGGGATAGTTACTACCAAACATTGCTAAGCAGGAAAAAGAGGATTTCATATACACTTACGTACACAAACACACACTTTAAAACTCCTGAGGCACAGAGTTAATCGCTGGCTAACACTACTTAAAATTCAAGATGTTTCCCTTCCATGTTAATCTAAAGTAAAGGGCATGGTGGCGCACATCTACAGTCCCAGCACTGGGGAGCCTGAAGCAGGAGGATCACTGCGAGTTCGAGGCCAGCCTGGGCTACATAGTGAGCTCAAGGCCAGCCTGAACTACATAGGGAGGTGTACCCCAAATGGAGTTCTTCAAAGCAGCACAATTTCAGGAGAGGGATCAAAGAAAAAGGGAAACACGGGAGAAAAAGAAAGACAGAATAAAATATGAAGCAAGTGTAAATGAAAAACAAGAAGTGATAGAGAGACCAGGAAAAATTTGCATATTATCCCTGGGTCAGATAATTAACACATTAATTTATTTTTGTTTTTGCTCCATCGTGTCCCGGAGGTTCAAACTTGTTGCCAGACTGATGCCGACAGAAGAAGTACATTTAGAAAGAATAAAAGAGGCTACTTGCAAGCAGTCTGTATTTTCAGGGTGCATTTTGCAGGAGCTTGAGCACTTAGGGGAAAGAGGCAGGAAGGAGGACAGACACTGAGGCTCGGTGCATAGGAGCCACACGGCCCCATCGGGAGGGGGTGGGAAGTCCTCTGAGGGAAGCACCTCGCAGATGGTGCTGGAGGCTGGCCCTCAGCCTCTGGTTTCCAGCCGCAGCCCAGATTCCTTTTTACCTGTGGTGTCTGTAGCAGGCTGACAGAGCCGGATGCTCGCCTCCGCTTGGACCGGGCAGGAGAGGAGACTCTAGACCTTTAACCCTGGCGTGAAGCAAGCGCGTCCTCAGAGATAAATGGGGGAGGCTTCCTTGGCTTCCGGGGGTGCATGGATCTGGCATTTCACGTTACTTCCTGCAGCACTCTCTTTGTGGGCTTGGAATCCTTCTCAGTTACTCCCACCTTCACTTTACACATTTCTGTGGCTTCATTTCTAGCAGGGAAAATTATTCACAGATACTTTTAGGTACACACGCACAAGTGCAGCTACTTTTAACCCCCCCTTTTCTCACACAGGATTTTCGGCAACGTAGGCAATTTGCTTGGCAATATTATCAATTCATTAATGATCTTTCCACCATAAGCACAAAACTATAGCTAAAAAGTATTGTCTCAACTAATTTGAGACACAAACTAAATTTAAATTCATCTATTGTTTAAGACAAAAGGCTTATTAGAAATGAAGTATATACAAAATGCTGCAAGAGGTGTATTTGATATTTTCATGAGCAAATATAACGTAGTACGGTACCTAATGAAGAGGAACTTTGAGGTTGGACATAGTTGAGGGTCAGTCCCAGCTTTTTAAAATACCAGCTGCAAAATATTGAGCAAGTTATTTTTCATCTGTGATATTGGATTTTTGTGAAGATTGACTGTAAAAGTGGACAAAACGCTTGAATAGTACCTGGCATGGAGGTGATGTTTAATGTGTAATAATACTATAGTAAGTTTGCTTGCTTCTAAAGGCTTATGTTTTCAAAAAGTTAGCACAAACACACGCAAAGTAAACAATTATTATGCTCACAGCAAGTTGTGATCCTTAGTTCATTTAAGGTAACTTCCTAGGAATATCCAACAGAACACAGTTTAGTAGTATCCCTGTGTATACTCAGAGAAATACACCTGCATTTATTTGTGAAGATTTATAATTCAAACCATTTACTACTTCACTTTGATATTTTTCGAATCTACAACAAAAAAGTGAGATTTTTTTTTTTTTTTTTTGCAAGGAAAACATACCAGCATGGTATACTTTGAGTTGTTTTGTCCCAAAGTAGAAGGGATTATACTAAATTATTAACAAGCTTTTTCCAGCTTTCTCTGCTACTCTTGTGTTGTGCTGTTTGTTTGTTTGTGTGTGTGTGTGTGTGTGTGTGTGTGTGTTTATGTGCCTTCTATGCATGTTCACCTACATCCATGAATCTACGACAACCTGGAATTCTTCAGCTTAGTATATTAAAGGATGTTGACATCACCACTTTGACCCCACAAACATTGTTCCTTGATTAAAGAACTAATTCAGATTAAAAGGAGAACGTGACAGGAATCAAGCATTTTTAGAGCACATTATGTGGCACATGTTGATGGAAATCATTCTTAACTGGCATTCTATAAGATGTAATTTTTCCTGTTCTGCAGAGTTTGTTGTTTATTAATGTGGTTTCAGTTTGAATAATAATACTTTTACCTCTTTCAGGTATTTATTGGAAAGAGATATTTCTATGTGAGAATTTTTTAGAGTTCATAAAAAGGATTGGCTAAGAAGTAACATGTACAAGGAATTAAGACATGGTCACCGTTAATTAACAATTAACTTCACATGACCATATAGTCCACAAAATGCAGATAGCCAGTAGGATGATTATGATGCTCTTTCTCCAATAAAAATGGATGAAACCTCTGGCCAGATGTGGCCAGCAAAATGTCTCTTCCTTCTGGGCTCTGCAGTGGAACATAGAGTTTCACACAGAGTATAAAGAATTCTGTTTCTCCTCCTGCCAGGGATCAAAGTTCCACCTTAAAGTTGTCTTTTTTTCTCAGTACCTTTCAGATCTTGGCAAATATTGGACCACAGCACTGGCTGTGATGATACATGCTTCCATGGAATATCTTCTGTTTTATCCTGGAAAGAATGACATTTCATTGAGCCACACCTGCATTTTCTAGCAACCCATTACAGTGGCGGTAAGAACTCAGCATATTCTAGGCCATGTTTGTATTGAAAATATTTTTCTTTTCTTTTTTTTTGTTTGTTTGTTTTTTTGTTTTTTTTCCGGTACTGGGAATCAAACTCATGACATCGCGCTTGCCTGGCAGGCGCTGTGCCGCTGAGCTAAATCCCCAGCCCCCTATTTTTCTTTTCTTGAAGAAGTCATGGAACAAGAAAAAAGAGGGAATGCATGGTCACAGAGTAAATTCTTTCAGTTACAAACAATTATTTTATGAAGGCTCATAGAAGACAATTACTTTGTGACAGGTGAACGAGTGACTCCAAGGTCAGCATTCAGTGGAGGTTTTAGATTTCTCCTCATCTAGGAAATATGTTATTAGTGGGACTATCAAATAATAATTCACTGGTCAGTCTTGTTTAAGAAGAAAGTTTGGTGAGCCAATGATAGCTTTTTTTTGATTTCTAAGAATTTATTTTCAAACCATTAGTAACAATTTGGACCGGAAGAATAGTCATATTAGTGTGCTTAGTGGAGAATTGGGAAAAAATCCTAACAACTTATTATTTCAAGCATGTTGAAGTAAACTATTGAAATAAGCAAAATGGAGCACTAAAGTACTTCAACTCGTGTATCACTGTTGATATGAGAAGCTGTGATACAGTTTTAATTGAAAAAATGACAGGAGAGTATTAGGGTTTAATTTGCATATTGAGATTTTAATAAAGCTCCTTAACTGATGATATGATTATACATAGTCTTAAATTTCTTCTGTGTATTTGCTTCATTTTCTAATTATCTGCAAATAGAAATGTGTGCTACTCTGTTTATCAGATTCTACCACCTTTGCCATAAGCTGTATTTTTATTTAAATCGTGTTGGATATACAGATAAATGTAGAAAAATTAGATCCATACAATTTGCCATTTTCATTGAAAGATATGAAATTATTTTGTAACTTACTGAGGGTACATATACCTGTTGAATTTTATATTTGTAACTTAGACTCACTTTTATGCTTATCAAGGTCAATTTTAGTCTTGTTTGCCATCCAGGGACTAACTTAATTTTCTTCAACTTATGTAATTCAAAATTTTATTTCAATGAGGATTCATTTATAAATTCAACAAAATAACTGTTAGAAATGCTAGCAGGAGAGAGCTGAGAACATAAGACCTTATAGTGAATAATAACAGCAGAAGTTTGAGTTCTATTTAAGAAATTTCAGTGATCTCTATTCTTTTTTTTTTTTTTTGTACCAGGAATAGAACTCAGGACCTTGCCCTTGCCAGGCAGGGGCTTGTGCCACTGAGCTATATACCTGGCCCAGTAATCTCTAATTCTGCTTAATATGAAATCTAAACTTTGAACATAGAATTTAATTGTTTAATAATTATTTAAAATTATTCATCAGCCTTTGAAGGCCTTTATTGTCTCCACATCATCACTTTGTGTGTTGCGGATTATTACACGGAAGTGTTGCTCACTGAGGTGATGACTGGGAGAAGACTCGGTAAATAGGCTTTATGTTATAATATAGCACGAAGCATCACCTGCTCTGGGAAACAAATTGCATAACCTCTGCTCCCTTCTTCAAATCTCACCCTCCCTGAAAGCATCAAATCCTGTCTCTTCTCTGGGTCCATTCCTGCTTGTCCACTCTGTCCAGTACTGGGCACAGTTATAATGAACATGAAATGTGGCTACCTCTGGGGTACCTTTAAGTCTTGCAGCAGAGAAAGGAAAAGAAATCACCCTGCTGACCCCAGCTATGAGGGGTCTTGCCTTTTTCTCAACCATCTCCAGAGGAGCCCACAATCACCTGCTTGCAATCTAAGGATCATCCAAGAACTTGTGTCCTGTCCTGAATGTCAGCTGATCTGGACCTTTTGCACACCATCCCTTTGTTTCTGCGAAGCTGAATTCTTTATTTAAACTTCAGTCACTCCAGATGAGGAAGTGCATCATTTCGTCACTTACCACTACCCCGGCCATGTCCAAGATTCTGCTTACCTGCGCACACAGACTCACAGCGTTACGAGCCTGCCTTATCGAGTGCAAGGTGCAAGACAATATCAGCTTGCATAGGACCGCAGTTCACAATCTCTCTCTTAGGCACCCATCTTGGATTCTTGGTGATAATGTTTTGAGTCCAACCTAAAGCATTTCACTTTTACAGAGTCAGATTTACCTCGGTTCCAAATACTTTTCCTGTCTTCTCCCTATTCAAGTAGTTGAGACACTGAGAATAAAGAATGTGAAATTATTATGCTCCCCTGGCAAGTTTTGCTTAACTATTAAGTTATTTTTAATACAGTTTGTAAAATTCATACCCAGCTCCTAAATTGTGGGTATTATGCATTATTAAATCTCTCATTATTGTAACGAAATTTTCAGGAAAGATCGAGGTCCATGGTTTCATAAATTCTGGTATACCTATTGAGTCAGAGTATGGATTTTAAAATAGGACCTGACATCGTTTCTGAAAACTGATTGTCCTATAGCATAGTGCCTTTTATGTAGTATTCAAAAAATGTTTTCAGTTAATATACATGAATGGTATATGAAATGTGTTAGTTGAAAAACATTTTATAATGAAAAGTCATGATTGTTATTCTCAGTTAACTTTTAAGTGAATTTATCTATTTTTTTCTCCTGAAAATTCTTAGCATTTATGAAGTGTCAGGAAGACCCCCTCCTCTGGGTACCCACAACAGTCTTTTCAATACAGCACCTGAAGGGGTCAGTCACGCACAGGACAAATAATCCTCCTGTGACAAGTACTGAATAGTCAACTGTCAGAACAGTGTTAGAAACTTTTCCTGTCACTTCTGAGCGGCTGAGCAGTTGGATTTTGTTGTGAAATAAAAGTTGTTTTTCTAACAAGTGTTTTCAGCCTTAGAAATTTAAGAATTTTTTCCCCTATCATTTCTGGAAAATTTTTATTTATTTCTCTGTCTTAGAAGCTTGTTTTAAGGATAAGAAATCTGGAGCATAGACGCATTAGGCAGATTAGAGTTTTTTCTAAGGCTTTGAAAAAATGAGAAAAAAGCTTTTTTTTTTTTTTCCAGACTCTCCCTCTACTTCTTTCAGGGAGATATAATTCTTTTTAGGAGCAGGGCTGGCATGGGTTACAATTGCGTGGCGTCCTTTCCCCTAAACTTAATATCAGTTGTTTTTTCTAATCCAAAATACAGCTCAAGGAAGTATCCTCTTGCTTCGCGGCTTATTATTGATTTTACTTT